CAAACGTCTTCCATTTACGGATTATGGAGGCCACTGTGCTCTTAGGAACCTTAAGTGCAGCAGAAATTTTTTTTTGTAACCTTGGCCAGATCTGTGCCTTGCCACAATTCTGTCTGTGAGCTCTTCAGGCAGTTCCTTTGACCTCATGATTCTCATTTGCTCTGACATGCAGTGTGAGCTGTAGGGTCTTATATAGACAGGTGTGTGGCTTTCCTAATCACGTCCAATCAGTATAATCAAACACCGCTGGACTCAAATGAAGGTGTAGAACCATCTCAGGGATGATCAGCAGAAATGGACAGCACCTAAGTTAAATATATGAGTGTCACAGCGAAGGGTCTGAATACTTATGACCATGTGATATTTCAGTTTTTCTTTTTTAATAAATCTGCAAAAATGTCAAAAATTCTGTGTTTTTCTGTCAATATGGGGTGCTGTGTGTACATTAATGAGGAAAAAAATGAACTTAAATGATTTTAGCATATGGCTGCAATATAACAAAGAGTGAAAAATTTAAGGGGGTCTGAATACTTTCCATACCCACTGTATGTATTGACATATATCATTCATTTATTATGACACAATAGTCAAAATAAGTGCTGTCAGATTCTGCATCTGCTCCCATAATCTTTATATACTGTAAAATATAATGATACTAGATGGTTTTTCTAGATCGGTGATTCTCAACCTGGGAGTCAGGATACCAAACATTTTCCTGACTTTTCACAGATTTGTGTTTTCTTCTGACACTCTGGACACTCCTACCTCCTCAGATCGTTAAACCCACATTTCAAATGAACCCAAAAAAGGAAAACAATAAGTAGAAAATGCTTTATTGTAAGCAATCAGCAGTCTACTGTTCAAGATTACAGGTTCAACCACCCTGTCCTCTGGAACTCAATACTAATTCCTTAATGTCTCACAATGTGTTTCCTTCCAAAACTGTATGCATCTGAGGGTTAGATGTCCAAAGAGTTGCTCTATGAAAAAAAGAACACACAGTAGATCACAGAAAATGCAGAAAATGAACATTACCACACCAGCACATGTCTTGACAGTCCCCCACAATGGTGTCAATGACCATGCCCATTAAGCAAATAAACCTAGAATTTCTCAGAAATGCCACTTTAGGCACAGCCTCCACTCCACTGCTCACGCCATATTTTCGCACTTCACTTTCACCCTTTCACGCAGGACGAAGAAACCTGCGGCTGATCATGGAATATCTCCCCTACGGCAGTTTGAGAGATTATCTCATCAAACATAAGGACCACTTTGATTCTAAGAAACTGCAACTCTATGCATCACAGATTTGCAAGGTAATGTAGTGCAGTATGTTGTATCGTAAGTATATCTACTATATACTTAGTAACAACACCTGATTCAATTCATTTCTTCCAGGGTATGGACTACCTCGCCACAAGGCGTTACATCCACAGAGACCTGGCCACCAGAAACATTCTGGTGGAGAGCGAGATGAGGGTGAAGATCGGTGATTTCGGCCTGACCAAAGTGCTGCCACAGGATAAAGAGTACTACACCGTCAGAGAGCCCGGGGAAAGCCCGATCTTTTGGTGAGGACCACACACTGCGTGTGTTTGTTAGTAGTTCAAATACAGTATCTAAATTTTGTCACTTTATGAAGATAAAGACTGTTAATGTTTTCAATGTTCTTTCTACATTTGTGGTAAATACTGTAATACTGTGTAAAGATAAGATCATGTGATTAACACAGACAAAATTTTGATTTGGTTTTATACATCCAGGCTAAATGTGCCTGCTGTTTCTTTCATGGCTTCATTTCTGTCTGCTTGTAATGTATGACAGTATTTATATGCATGTATAATGTGCTGTGGTGTTTTCCAGGTATGCTCCAGAGTCACTGACAGAGAGCAAGTTCTCTGTGGCATCAGATGTTTGGAGTTTTGGTGTTGTCCTCTATGAACTCTTTACTTACAGTGACAAGAACTGCAGCCCACCAGTGGTACTGCACTCCTCCTCTTTCATTATTGTTATTATTTTATGTATTATGGAACTATTTTGCAAGTCTACCTTTAATTACTTCGTCACCTGTGTGACTCACTTAAATCAGCAATGAAACAATGGCCAGTGCAGTTAGTTTGTATTGTCCTTAAAGAAATCAGTTGATTGAGCACTCAAACAGGAAACACTTCTAATCATTTTTTGGGCAGTTTCAATTTTGTGAAGTTTTATCAAGCTGCAATCATTAAAATTAGACAAAAAACATTTTTGTTCTGTTCAAGGTGTTTATGGAGAAGATGGGAAATGAAAAGCAGGGTCAGATGATTGTCTACCATCTGATAGGCCTGCTGAAAAATGGCTACAGGTTACCTGCTCCTGATGGCTGTAACACAAGACATAAAAGGTGGGGGGGGGGGGGGGTAATTATAATGTTGTGTGAGAGCAATGCATGCACACTGCTTGTTGTAAATTTAAAAGGAATTGCATCAATTCAGGGTCACCTGAGTCTAGCAGGTTGACAGGGAAAACTCATCAGGAGCAAGCAGTTCCGGAATCAAGCTAGCCATAAGCAGAAAAGGCAACTGTGTGTTATCAGTTAAATCTAGTAACCAATGAAAAATTGAAATAGAAAGTCCTGTTATTGCAAAGTGTATCTTAACAAGAATAATGTTCTAGTGCTATGCTGAAGGCTCTGTGAGGTCAGGACTAGCATGCTAACACATTCACAAAGACAACACTAACACTGATTTTAAGTAGTTGTAATTTTTACCATGTTCACATTCATAGTTGAGGTTTTTTTGCCTGCTGACATGTTCAAACTGACACCAAATGCGAAGCACAGATGGGTTTGAGGGAAATGTTATTAGTTTTTCAGGTATTTAGTAACAAACCAAATTATTGGAGAAATTTTAAATTTGGACCTGGTGATGGCACTAGAGGAAAAGTTCATCATTAAAGTTAGTACAATTCATCCTGAGGGGAACATGAACGTCTCTACCAAATGATCCATTTCTTTTCCTGTTCTTCTTGTTCTGATGGTTCCTCAGATTCACAAGATTATGACAGAGTGCTGGAACAGTGATCCAAACCAGCGACCTACTTTCAAGACATTAATTCATAGCGTGGAGGCCGTACGGCACAGCGATGACAGATGACCAACATTGATCCTTCAACCTTTGACCTCTAGGCCTTTCTAAGCACCTGGGAGTTCGTCCCCACGGGTCTTAACAGAACAGTCAATGTCTCTGTGATGTCTGGGTTTACTGCAGAGAAGCAGCAGGCCAAAGTATAATTTATCTCCTTTTAGGCTGCCTGTTTGTCCACTTAATTAACATTTCCTTAAATTAAGATAGTGTGATGATAATATCCGCTAACTTAGCAGTTCATATCTGTCTGTGGTCACATGAAATACACCAATTACTGTATTACACTGATTGCTACACTACATCTGACTCATAGACCAAACAAAATGTCAGTTCCAGTGCCTTTAAGAACATTTCATTATGGGATAAATTCTTTTCTTTGAGTTATATGTACTTGCTTAGGTCACTTGTGTTGAAGGTGTAACCCTTAAAATTAATCATTACCAAAAATATATACATCAAAATAAGCAGCATTTAGTTCATTCCTGTGCTTTTGTATTTTTATTGATGCAAAATAAGCAGAAAGTTACTGTGTTAAACCAAAGAGGCCCGGGCATTTCTAACAGACTTTGAGTCATCTGAGTGCTCCTGAATATCAAAGCTGCATAAACTTAACTTTGCAGCACTGATCATTCGTGGCTGTACTGACCTGAAGTGAGCAGGTACCCTCCTGCTGATGCCCAGGCAGGCACACGTTTGATACTTCAAGACTAATAAAGGACAGTCTATAAGGCACCAGCTGTATGTCTGGCACCAGGGGACTTGCTGTGAAGATCTCTACATGTGGCTGCAGATTTCTGCTGCTACTAATTGTTTCTGTGCTTTTCTATAGTGGTAGTTTGCTATGAACACATCATATTTCTACAGACTTAACACAATTCACCTGTGATCTGTTTACATCATGTCATGCATCGTGGAAACAACAACATATGTCAGTAATAACTACTCATTAAGCTATCTCAGTAACAAGTGGGTGAACAGTAGTGTTATATCATGGACTCACGCAGTACTAAACCAGCACAGGAAAAGATATTACCTTAGCAATGAATTATTCAAGGGTAAAGATATGTTAAAAAGGCTGTACTTTTCATTTCTGCAGTGGTAGCTTGTTGTTTGAATTTCGGTCATGTCATTATTTTTCCATGTCAGATATTTGTTTTGTTTGTGAAACTGTGTTTTTTTTTTGTGTAAACAGGGCATCCATGCAAAAGAGAGTGAAATAGTTCTCACTGGACTAACCTGTATAATAAAGGTTGAATAAATGGGTAGGCATTACATTGTCGAACTTTAAATTTGTCAGTAGTTACAAGAGGGTTTTTTTTGTTTGTTTGTTTGAAATTTTACATGTCAAATGTTAAAGACCAAATGAGATGCAAAATGTCAAAGGGCTGGTGCCCTCTCACGCCACTAAGGATGAGTCAGTGTAGAGAGTTTTCTCACCTACAGACAGCTCCCACAGCTGTAAGCTCTCACCCCCGAACATCTGGGCCCTGATGATCTGACTGTCCTTAATTATTCTTTCATGTCAAGTCTGTTGTAAATGAGACTTTTTGTTTGAAACATATCATTTTTTTTATGTTCAACAGATGAAAGGGGTGGTTCTTTGTATTTATTTCAGTGTTTGTTTGTCTCAGCATGAACACATTGAACCTGTTTTAGATACCCTTTGATGCTTGTATGGGTGGATAAATGTAAATACTGAGATGTGGTTGTTTAGTTCAAGATGTATTTAAGGCATCTATAAACATTTATTAAATAAAACATACTTTTATACTATGGGCATGAATAGTTGTACTTTTTTTAAAATTTAAATATGGCTTGCTTTTTACAAAAAACTTTATCATACTGCACCCACAGTCTGCCATATGTTGTTCTAGTCCACATGATTTTATAACAGCATGTTTCTTCAGTGAGTCAAATGTATGTTTCTGCTGCATCAAAAGGGTTAAAAGAGAAAATCTTTTTCATTATTGTCCCCAGGGTGTTGATTGGTCTGAGGCATAATGTTGTGAACAGAGGACAGCAATAATTTCACAGCAGCCTAAATGACATTAATGTGTGATATTGGCCTCCGTTAAGTATCAGTGTACTTTAGTCATAGTCTGCAGGCGAGAACACGGGTGCTCCAGAGCCATTCCATGCATAATCAAGTGTTGTAGACAATATATAACACTGCTCAACATTTCATATTAACACAGTATTTAAAATTTATTGTCAAGGATGCTGAAACACACAGTATATACAGACCGTACAGAGCATCTTTTAAACAAAATATCCAGTGAGGACAATGTAGACATCATTATGACAGAGAGACATGATGTTGGGGTGACGTGATGAGTCTAATTCAGATACTATGGACTGTGTCTGCTGTGCAGTAAGATGTGGGTGGCAATAACTAGCTATACTATAGCCAGTTAAACAGTTTCCACAACTGTACACTGTCCATAATCACCCATCACAACACCTTTATATCACCACCTCTCTGCCATGCCTTCCCCCCTCTTTGCCTCAGCACAAGCGTCCAATATCATTCTTGGTACAGCCCTGGTTACAGCACATCCCTGCCACACCCAGAGAAAAGTTCCTCTTTTTCTTACTCGGTATGGGCCAGCCAGCTCCTGTGGGACTACCACCTTGCTTGCCTAAAACCATGAACGACTGAGGATTCTCCAGAGGGGTTGGGTTGCTGAGCGTCTGCTGCTGCCTCTCTCCTATGGCCCTGTAAAGAACAAGGCGGTCTGCCATGGAGCGAGAGGTGGCAACATGGTGAGGAGACCGGTTATCTCTGGGCCCTGTGCCACGTTGCCAGGTGCGCTGCTGGTCGTCTGCTGGATCGTCACTAAGGGAACTCCAATGGAAAGAGTCTGGAGGAAAAAACACTACTTGAAACAGGAGTCATTTGACATACCTGAAAACGTTTATAACAGGTGCTTTTTTGGAGGCAGGATTGATGATAACTAGTAATTAAATGTTTTCATGTTACGTTTACAGTTAACACGAGATGACCATGGTGCTGAAACATGAGGTGGTCAACTGAAATGTATCACCCGATTACAACCTGTGGCAGTGTAGCATTTTTATTTTGTTAATAATCTAATGTTCTGTTAATAATCTAATGTTCTATCTGTAAAAATTTAGGAAATATTTGCCAGTGGAATCTTTCTTCTAAATCATCTTAGTGAGAAATCAAATTTTCCCACTATTGCTGGGCTATATCAGAATTTAAGACTTGTGGATAGTGCTTTGTTTTGAAATGTCTGCATATATACATAGAGTAGAACAATTTTTTGTGATATAACATCCACAAATTTCCAAAAGAATTCAGCAGCAGTGTCTTAATGTCAACTCACCCAAGTCCCCCTCTGTGGATCGTTTCCACCGGGAGCCTCCGCAGGTGAAAATAACTGCTCTGATGAACTCTCTCCCGCACAGTTTCACCCCGTAGTCCCTCGGTACAATCAGTCCGTTCATTACATCAGCCTTCACACAGCTGCATATGCCACCAACACACACCACAGCCACCGCAAGAGTCAATCTCCAGAGCATTTTTTTTGTTTGTTTGTTTGTCCTAAAACTAAGAACACCACACCGGCTGGTCTGTGCTGTACAGGCGGGTCAGCTGAGCTCCACCTCAGATCTGGTCAGTGTTTGAAATCCTGCTGGTTTTCTTGCTGTTTGCTCTGTTGCAGCCTGTTGAGCCTGCACAAGTTGTATAAGGAACAGAAGATTTGTCGGCTTGGTGATGCAGAGCAGATGTTGGCTTCCTCTTCTTGCTCTTTCTTGGTCAGTGGACACAAGCTTTTATACTCCTAGTCACTAGTTCACTCATCAATCTATCCGTTCAACCCCTAGCCGCTCTCTCCCCCTCCCTCTCTTCCAGACACACACACGTCATTCAGATTGATGACAATGACGTACTTGTGAGTTATTTCCTTGTTGTTGTAATATTAAAGGAATATTTTTATATGGAGTATGAGTGTACTATAGAGCATGCTGTGCACTACACTGGGAAGATATTAAATTTGGCTTAGTCCTGTTTCAACACTGTGTCCATCTCTGTAAAACAAGGGTGGCTTGATGTATGTTACTGGCTTTTGTCAAACAGTCTTTGGAAAGTTTCTTTTTATTGAATTTACAAACATCCTTTCTATGAGGTCAAACGTGATGGTCAACAGATAATACACAGATATGAGCACCTTGAAGTATTGTACATCCATTTAATTCTATCTTAACAATAAAAATGCAGGTGCAGGTTACAGGTGCACCGGTGTTTACTATAGGTTTCAGTTTCTCAGCACTGAAGCTCTGGCCTTGGCAAATCAACTCGTCTCTTGTAGTTACAATCACCAAAGGTTTTAGTGATAGAGTTTGGAGTGATCTTCTGCTATCAGGACAAATGTCTGCGACACTTTGCAATTAAAGCTTCATTGAGTAAAATTAAGCTGCTTTGGTCATCAGGTTTGAACAAAACAGTTCTGACCAGCGAGTACCACTATTATAGGAGCACCAGTAACTTGCCTGGCAGCATCATTCATATGATGTGTATAGTATCAGCCTTTGTAAGGCTAAGTTACTGTGTTTGGTGTTTAAAGGTCTTTCTGTCCTCTACTGGTCAAAAATTGCTGAAGTTTTAACTAAGACCATGATAAACAAGCATAACACAGCTTGCTGGGACATAATATCAGTGTGCCATTGTATGAATTATGTAACATTGCTGGAGCATAAAGTAAATGATGTAAATATTCATGTAACAGATTTATTTCATGTTATTAACTGTTACTAACTTAAGTATTTGGGCCAGCATTCAGCATCAACTAGCCTGTACCCAGTACACTGTTTGGTTACTCATGCTTCGCCAATCATGATTATTTTTTTGATCATTAATAAGGTGATCAATTTGACTCGAGGTCTGTAATAGAAAAAAACACCACAAACCATATGGACTGAAAAACTTTAAGAATACAGCTGTATTTGACAGCTCTTTCCATCATCAAGTAAATGCAGGTGAATGCAAAGACTGGATGACTCTGATTTGATCTCAAATTACCAATTCATCATTTCTCCAGGAAGGAAGTGAGACTGCTTTTAGCGCGACGAGCCTTCTCTATGCTATCGAAGCTTGGAGTCCCAAGAGGCAAGTCCAGACGGTCGTGTTCAGATGTGATGATACTCTCAGCCTCCCCTAAGGGTATAATGCAAGAACAAATACATTGCATTGTAATGTGGGAAGTAAACATCTACAAAACAAGTCATTTTTGCCAGCTAATTAATGCTAATTACTGGGTTTCTGACTCTCCAAGTGAGTACTGACACTAGAGAACAAGTGGAGTTTGGTAGGTGAGGTTTAATATATGTCTATTACAGCCAAACCGAGCTACAGGACAGTATATGTTGTCAAAAAAAAAGATTTGGACATGTGATTACGGGCGTAGAATAATTATCTTACTATGAATATGTCTGTGCCACACAACAAGGTGCCAAACAAAATAGCTAAAGCAAAAACAAACAGCTACTGTCTGGGTTAAAATGACAAGAGCATGCCAGAATATTCTGGGAATAAACAGGTATTCAAATATTACATAAACATTTTATTAGTAGTCCTACTGTACCTCTCATACGATAAATAAGCGTCCCATAGGCGCTGTCCATCTGGTAGGCAAATATAAAGCCGAGGGGAATGATGGGAGTAAACAGGAAGGGTTTCTTTCTTTTAATAGCACTGAAGAAAGGGGAGGGTCAAAGAACAGAATAGAACAGAACAGAATAGAATAGAGAAATTAAATAATTAGATTAAATTAAATAATTAGATTAAATTAAAGAGAAATGATCTATATTTACACAGTCAACATGTGATAAAAAAGATACTGTAAACAAAAGCTCTCAGAGAGAGTGCATGCCTTCACATTTACATTTTTATAATCTGGAAATACAGACCACTAAACTGTGCAATAGTTCAAGTCAGCCAGACCCAATCACAGCCATTTAAATGTGTCATGCTGCTGTAGTGCCACCTATAGGTGGCTTGTCACTTTTGGCAAGTCTATAACTGTTAAATGTGATGTGACTACTGTGTCTAACACTTACAAAACATCACACACACGCAGTATCGCACCGATAAAGGCCACTGGACAACAAAGTGTGACTAATTTATTACTGAAGCTGTGAAGACTCAGGTCAGCAAGGATCATACTTTACAGCTGTCATGAACACGCCAATGCAGGATATTCTCCCGCTGTGCATCAGTACTGTGTGCATGTTAGAAACAGATCATCCCTGAGTGAATCTCATCCTAAAAATCCATGAGCTGACCTCTACTCACCCTACGGTGAGTCCCACTGTGGCCAGTGTAAAGAAGGTGCCAAAGTATTTGAGAAACTCTCTGGACCAGGCAATCTGCATAGCCATCTGTCTCTCTCTCATCTGGTTCTGCATCAGGATCTGACGCTCCAGCTGCAGCCACACAGGAGAAAGGACACACAAGACGTCGTCAGGCATAACAGACCCTTAAAGCCCAATACGGCCACTGCCTATGCAACTTTAAAACGTGACATTTTTATTTATTAGAATACATATTTTAGGAATACAACAAATTAAGTCAAATTAACCAGTGAATAAAACACGAGTTAGACCCACGTAACAGCTGATATTGGCTTATTGCAGACACCAGTGGGGAAAAACAAGTATTCAAAACATCAACATTGGTTATATCAAACATTTTTAGTGCAGCTGTTCACACAAAATTAAGACCAGACATTGGCTTTAACTCAATAATGCAACATAGCTAAAGAAGTCAATCAATACTGGTATCAGAATACATGTTGGTCAATAAGCAACAAAAGATTTGTACAAGAAAGATAATCAGAAACAGTGTCTTTATTACATGGTTTGCCTACCAGAGAGCACTGGCAAGGTTATTGTTCAACTGTGCACATCCTGGTTGTACTTTATCGAAGAGCCAAATTTAACACGGCGCATTTGTTACTGAGGTTGTGTTAAACACAACAAAAGAATAGTGGCTGATATTGTCAGATTTTTTTATAGAACAAGACAGACTCAAAAATCAAGTATTTGGTAAAGGTCTATAAAATAACACCATTATCCAATCTTCAGCTTACAGTACAGCACGCTTCACATTTTTATTTGGAGGCTGTGTCAACAGTGAACACTGCGTATGTCTGGAGAAGATGCGATACACAAATCAAAGCAAAGCTAAATGAAAAATATTCCGAACACCAAATCTGCTCATGTTTTATACAATTAAAATAACAACCCGAGATATAACATGGCTGGATATTAAAGCAGTGAAACAGACACGGGAAGAGCCAAAGTCTTCCATCTGCTGTCTCCTGTTTGACACACACACAAAAACGTGGTTCCTGCATGACAATTACTACTGAGCTGACTGACTGACATTCTCATTTAAAAAGACTTAATTTGAAAAAAGTGAATGTGTCAAAATGAGCTTTTATTCCCACTTAACAGGAAAGTGATGCAATGCAATGGTTGAAAAATGACCACAGTGCCATTCAAGTCAGCCGATGACATAAGTGAATGACAAATTACAACATGTCGGACAAGCAGCATTCTGATTTCTGACTCTCTGCACATATTCACAAATGAGTCTGTGTATTTGTACTAATGGCTAAACATGACGTGGCACTGAAACTAAACTGAATGAAATAAGTCTGTTTTTGAGGCCTGTATGTAAAATAGAACATTGAGATGAAGAAGTTGTGCAAATGGATTAATTAAAATCCACTCTGCTTCACCCAGCGCTCCCTCTCCCTGCTCCACTGTGCTCTACTACGATCTACTACGCTTCACCACGCTCTGCTCAGATAAAGGAAGAGAATGCAACAAAACTCACTGATCAGGCAGAAATAACTGAAAATCTCTGATTGGTTCGCGAGACCAATCCCGGTCCAACCCTTCTAGAAGCCAAAGTCTCTGCACTGCTGCAGTGCTGTTCAGCGAGTCCTTGTCACAGGAGGCTTCGACGGCACCTCTCAACATTCAGACAGGCTTTGGGGAATATTTTTACAACCAAAGTCTTTGAAAAAAGTTGCATACTTCAACTTTAATTTAAAAGTGTTTTATGTGAGTGTCAGCTTCACACTGATCAACTCTCAGCACTAAATGTGTTAAACTTGTCGAGCTGGATGAGTAAGGCCAAGTATAATCAGTCAACCCTCCCTCAAGGCTTCACAGTCAGTGTGAGAAATGGCTTAAAATGGCCTTCAATTATATGACTGGAGCAACAGTGGCTCATATATCTACAATTCAAAAAAAAGCAATGAGTGTAAAATCTGGCAAATTACATTTGTGCACAAAAGTGGGTGACTAACACCAAAAATTGTAACAGCAGCACTAATCAAATACCTTTGGTGATTAATACGTGATGTTATCAGAACATCAAGTGGGGAGGCTGGCTGACTAGAACGCTTGGCTACTAATAAATGTCAGGATAGGCCTCACATTAAGAAAACTGCTCCGGACTGTTAAGCGGTAATCACTGGCAGGTAGAAGTACGGTGAAAGGCACTCGTGTTAATGAAGCGCAATCAACCCTTAAATCTAATCTGATTTTAAAGCATGGTGTTAGGACTGATTGTAGAGAGTTCAATCAACACTTTAGTCAAACACCACTCAAACAGCACAAAACAGAACATACAGTATCTACAGTAGCTATAGTTGCTGCAGATACGACTTTGGTCCATGTGCATTTTCATTTTCACTAGATGTATTAAAGACAAAACAGTAAATAAAAAGAGTATTGTTACAGCACTCTTTAATTTAGACCACCATTATTAGAAAATGTTTACAATTTAAAAAGCATTTAAACATAAAGTATTCAGGATGAAAACATAAAAACAATCTATACACAGACTTCTGTGTACACTTAAGAGTTTCTCTGTACATTTTGATATCTTGCTCGTCATGAAACTAATTACTTGTTGGAATCCACAGCTATACCCAAGCTGACTGAACCTGCTACCCTCTCTAGGAAGAGGGAAGCTACAAACTTTTTAGAGCCACACCGCTGAGTGTTTCATATCAGACACTGGGTGGAGTAATGTGTCAAAGTACTGGAAAGCACAGAAGCAATGTGAACTTAAGGAAGCCTCATTAAAATCAGACAAAGTTGAAATGAACCAATCCTGATGGGAGAATTCTCGGGTTTTCCTCTATAATGGTGTAAGGTCTTGACCTTACTATGCAAAGTGCCTTGAGATGATTTTGGCTGTGATTTGGTGCTATATTAATACAATTTAACTGAACTGTGAATGAGTCAAGAATTTAATTATATTTCAATTAGACCACTTTCCACTGATAGCGAGGGGAAATTACTCATCCGTTCACAGAGCCATTATGGTCGTCATGAGCAAGAAATGTGCACAAATGGGAGGGATGACTTCATAGCCACAAAAAAAGGAAGCGGCACAGAGAGAGTAGATGTCCGAATTTAATACGCCATCTGGCAACTACCTGATATTTTATCCCTTTTGAGTCACCAGCATGTATATCTTTTAAAGAGGTACAATATGTTCCAGTAGAGATAATTATTTTTTGTTTTACATTATCTAAGGGACTGCAGATGCTAAGTAGCTCAAAGCCTGGTGCTACTGTTTAAGACTGTACACAAATGAACAGAACACAAAACTGAAGACAATATTCATGAGCATAATGTTACTTTCTGGTCAAACTGTGAAAGCTAAATGTCTATATTTCTGACACTGTTTGGATAAATGACAAATTAATCTATAAACAGATGCGCATTACATTAACAGAAAATAAACATTACATTTATTTCGGCCCCTTGTCAACTCTCTCAGTTGGCGTGATGCTAAATGCCTGTACAGAACGGCGACAGTATTTAACCTCCACAACCTCAGCATCATCAGCACTGGCACAGCTGACATGTCGCTGAGTTTCAACTAGGAAGGAATCCTCCTGGACATTTAATTCCACCCTGATGAACGCTCCAATCATAAACTCTGCCAGCTCTCCGCCATCAAGAAACTCTGTTGGACCCAACCTACTGCTCCCCTTGTATGAAAGCATCAAAGCGCCAATCCTCATCTAATGCCCCATCTGCTCCTTCACCACACTTAGAGTCACCAACAGGAACAAACTCATCAAAACCACAAACACACACAGCCACTAAAATCCACTTCCAACCTCACAGATGTCAACACGAACGTTGGTAACATCCAAATCATAATTCCCAAGCTTGAATCTGTGAACAAAAAAAGCTTGCTTTGAAAACACGACTGGAAATTACCTACCCTTTCCAAATTTCCAGTTCTAGTGCAGATACACTGGCTGCATTTTGGCACCAATAACAATATGATACATAGTATAAATGTGTTTCTCTCTAAAACCCTTCTTTTCTCTTTTGTATATTCGCGTTGCATGGTCTGTTTCCATGTGATTGCTATGTGGTTTTGTATGATAAACTACTTGTCAAGATAACAAAGTGACAAGATTGCAGGAGATGACCAACGGATTTGGGGGCAAGCTTAGACAGGCAGCGGAGGATTACAAAATGACTGTGAGGAAAAAAGCAGAGAAGAAGAAGTGAAATAAAGAAATGAACCATGAGTCCACTCTGAAAGTGACAGTGTGAGAACTGCTTTGAAATCTAAGCGGGAAATTCGCTGACATTTCCTAATAGCTGCAGGCACAGAGAGCACACAGAGCCAGACAATACTTGGAAAACTGACAGCAAAAGCACGAATCATCACAGTCAACTTACTGAAACCCACCGAGAGTGAGAGAGGAGTGCAACAACACACACAAAAACATTACGGCCATCAGTAATTACTTCCTGACTTTTGGGGTGTTCCTCGGGGTGCTATTCTTAATCCCTGACTAAAGAAAGGTTATTCTCACCCTACTGCTAAAGTGTTTTTGACATACCCAGTTCTAACTCGGTGCACAAAATCCTGTATTGGAGAGAATTTTGAAGTGATCCAAGTTTACATTTTAATCAGTACATCACAGAACTGCTTAAGTCCTGCTTCGTTCATCTCTGGAATGAAGCTATGATTAGCAACAAACTGGAACTAAAGGGTACTGAGAAAGTGATTCATGCCTCGTCATTTCTTGTCCAGAATTTCTGTTTCAGTGACTATATACTAGTTACCAGTAACTGATTAGATCATATTTTATGATTATCATTAATTTGTCCATGGCAGAAGCCCCTGACTTTCCACTGTGTTCTGTAGTTTATGATAATCTGACCAAGGACTTTTACTAATTATGACATAACAGCTTACAGTAATGTCTTACTGTAGTTAGAGATGCCCTGATACGATTCTAAGTATCAGTATCAGTGCCGATCTGGCCATCTTTCCCAGGATCAGTATCAGCCAGAATAAAGCTGATTCAATTCTGATCTGTATTTGAGTGGACGTAGCAGTGTTTTTGACACGTGCCTGTCATGCAGCCGATAACCTGCTACATTACTCAATCCAGCTGTCTACACTGCTTGTGTGTCTGCTGGCATACCAGGCATGTAGGTGCCTCCTGAAATCTATTTTTAGCTTCAGGTCTATTTTTTCATAGCTATGTGCGTAAAAACATAATCCACCAAAATAATGAAAATTCACTAGCTCCAGTCAGAAATAGAAAAATATATCACGCCAAAACAGTTCAATGTAGGGATGTCCCGATTCAGTCTTTACAATCAGATCCTTTTAATATTAAGCATCTACCAACAGCGATTTCCATCTGATACTTATATGAACCTTATTTAAATGTTCTGTAACTGTAATCCAAAGCATTTTGAGACACTGTATTTGCATTACCTGGAGAAATTGAAAAGTGGTTAAAAACCAGTGAAATACAACAAACACTCAGTGTAAAGTTACCTAATTATAGTGAATAACAACCCTGTTACTAGCAGCAAAGACCCATTTTTAAATATAAAGTGAACAATTTAAATAATTTAGGAGTTGCCATTTACCTTCAGCACATGTCATACAGTATAAATGGATCTACATCCACTGAACTTTCAAGTAATGTTTAAGATGGATCCATAATTCAAGCACAGCAGCTTTGACTTGCAGTCATCAAGGCAAGAGAGTGGAAAGGATCAATTAGCTCTGACTGATGTTACTCGAAAACACTGACAAGCAGTCATCTTTGACATCTTAATACAGGGGGAGGCAATAAGTGAAATTGATGGGGTCAGTCTCATTCTCTAAATCTGGTGATATATAATTTGAATGTCGAAGATGAAAAAAACAACTAAATGATTTCCCGTTACAGACACTAATATAACACCTGCTCCTTGTTCAAATGTTAGACGATGGTGTATGTTTTCTGAAAGGTTAAATGTATTCATCAAAATTTAAATATATGCTGTCAACTTATTTTAAGGACACAGACTGGTATTCAAAAGCTATTCTGAGTGTGAATTATAAATATGAAACTATCTGTATTAAGTCAATGAAAAAATGTGGCTCCACTACAACAATGCGTAAACATGTAGCTAATATTCACTGTGAGTCATCATCACGACTGAAATGAGGATGCTCTGAAACTCAATTGCCAAAAACCTTTGCCATCACTGAGTAATATTAATCATCATCTACCACATTTACAGCTGGGAGAGCGGGAGAAAATTAAGGGGCAAACAACACAACAAACCTTTTGGGCGTAAGTCGGATAATGTCATTGGTTTTATGACAGTCACACATCCCACCTGCTGCTCAGCGCCTCACAGGCATGAATAAATCACTACAAATTGGCCCCAAAAAGGAGGAGGAAAAAAAACAATCCTTTGTTTAAATGAAAAAAATTAACAACAATAATGAGCGCAATAAAACTTGTGGTCCCTAATTGGAAACACTGAGATCTTGTATGCCTGGTTTTCACACTGTGCGATTCAAGAAAGAAAGAATGCCAGGTTGAAATGGAAGATTGTCAGGGAAGGTCAATGTGATGGCCAGAGTCTGTACGCTGGAGCAAACTACCAAAACCTTAGGCCTCATGGGCTGGGATCAATGGCCACTTTCCCTAAATATTACTTAGCCTCATGTTTGCTTTGTGGTGCTCTGATTAAACAAATATCTTCTTTATGATGTAGATCAGGCAATACAGCAGCACCCAGCCCAAGACACTCACTGTGTCAGCTGATATTGTGCTTTAGTAGTGCGTGTAATAGTTGTCCTCTAAAGTTGCACTGATCAAAGTGCCTCCAAACCACTTTAACCTTCAAGCTTAAGCGCTGCAACAATGTTCCACCTGACAGGTGTCACGTGACTACAGGAGCTTTTAAGACCTGCATAGCAAGTCATTGTGTGAGCAATACTGTTGTGCTGTTTCACTCACCTGTAGGCGTGAATTGTGGAGCATGAATTCTTGTTGTTTTTTTAAGTTTGCATCCATGGATTTTGACAGTAGAAACCCCATGGTGGCGCTGTTACTGTTAACCTACAGATACGATTACAGAGAATTATGCAGCAGTCAATATTTCATTGTGTGACAACCGTCTGTAGCTGTGCTTCATTTAGATGCTTCTATTAGTTTAAAAACTACATGTTGGTGCTGCATCCAAACTTTGCTATGCATTGCTAGATGCTAGCAAAGCATAGCAAACATTAAACGACTTGGCACATGGTTCTGTGCTTCTCGCTAATGATATGTGACTGGTAGCTTGGCTAACTACAAATGAAAGCTTTACATACCTAATATTCTTTCTTTGAAGATAGTAAGCTAAATATTATAGGAATAGTGGGGAAAAGACAGGACTAACGAAGACTCAAGGGCATGTCTCTATCAAAACAAAAGGCTGTGTGCACAGAAACAACTTCCTTTCTACCGGTTTGTCATCCGGTGACTCTGCCATGGGAAACACTGTACATCCGGTCAGACTTTCAAAATAAATTCCACACAAGAAAGTTTCTAGATGTCAAAAGCAACTGATGAGTACCGTGTAAAGCAAGGAAGTAATTCATTTAACATCGGACTATGTCTCCGAATAAAGTGGAAGAGAATAAAACATTTTACACATACTGCTTTTACATTGTTTGTCCTCAGGCTCTGCACAGGCCATGGTCACAGGATGTTGCAGTTAGCTGAGAAATGGCTCCCTCTATTGGTCTCTATTTCTATCTTCGAGGTCTAAGTCAATACTTGATTGTTTTAGTCTGTATGCATTTTCACTTATAGATATAAATTTAGAAGGACCATCTTGGAAGCCTAACTTAGTTTAAGTTGTCATGTTTTTTATACAATATAACTTTGCAAAGTAACTTCACGTATACTTGCAGGGAAGAACATTTAAAGTTCAACATTATGTAAAGGTTGTTGACTGTGTAGATTTGATGTGAAGGTAATAAATGGATGAACTGCATGACTGAAGCCCATCGTGAAGTGATACTAAGAAAACTTTATGGAAGAGGTAGCTTCCCAAGCTGCTTCTTGTCTTGTTCTAACTTGATCAGTCAAAGTGAAAATGCAACAAACTGTGATAACTTCATGCTGCAGTGAACCATCAAGCCAAGCTATTTTTTTCTTTGTTATCAGTATTTTTTATTACTTGGTTACCCCCCCTATGGAAGCATACATACTGAATGTTTTAGTACCGTCAGAGCCTTATCTATCTTTTTCAGTGTAGGTCTTCAAGGTGTTTACATGATTCATGTCACAAACCCTTCCTACAGTGACAGGTTGCTTTACCTTTGAGTGGTATAAATAGTAATGTCCAGTTTCAGATTTTCCAAGGAATTTCCAAAAGATATGGTGAACACTAACTATTACAAACAAGCCGGCTCCCTACTGACAACAACAATGATAAGATCAGACATGTGTAATTATACTACTTCCATATTACTAAATAGAAGCATCTCACGTGCAAAATTTGGGAGGCGGTAAGTGAACTGCTGGAAAGCCCACAAAGGTTTCACACAGTCAGCTCTGCACTGGGATGGGGCATCACTGTCTGATCTAGCTGGTGGAATTACTGGATGCATGTTCATCTTTTGTATGAGGGAATTCCACCTGGCTAGTAACCAAATGATGGACATTGTTCATAAAACCTCTTTCTAATGTGTGAGAGTTTCTTCCATGCACATTTCCAGCTTTCCCACGTTACGTGAACTGACTTATCGTGTGAACAGTAATCTCTGTTTTGCCCTGTGTGCTAGGAGATGTTATTGTTTTGGTTCTGTTTCAGAAGTACATTAATATATTAGCCTAATACTAACAGAAAAGTCCAGTTTATGTTAAGTAATTTTTTTATTTGAACCATTTAACCAAGTTATACAGCACCATGTCTAGATCTGACCCTGATGATAAAGGTGTCATTTCCTTTATATACTTTTAAGGATTCAAGCCCTAAACCTGAACCTGCTGTTTGCACACCAGCCCCAGAATTGCTTACAGAGCAACATAGAGTTTCTGTGGAGCACGGAGCAGCATTTGTAAGTTCTCTTGTTCTGTGTGAGCAGGGTTAATAATGACAATAATGATTTTAAATAAAAAAAAATGTATCTTTTTTGGTAGTTTATTTTTAATTGAATGAGAAGCCTGTTGACAAGCATTACGGATACTCTATTTTATGAGATCCTCAACAAAACACCTGATGGGATAAGCTTGCTTGGCAATCTTGAGGAAACCCATTACACTTCTACAGTGTCGGACACGGAAAAGTAACCCAACTCCAGTACTGGTGCCATGAGCAATACGGGTACATGGGCTACTTTTCCGTAGCCCACCCTGTATAATTAAAGGAAGGTCCATGGTCTGGATACTTGTGTCCATTTAATGCAGCACTTCAGAGAGAAGTGAATATTTCTCACACAGAGATTATGCCTGATTTGATTAGGGTGAGCTACATTTTCTCTAATGTGAACTGCATCTGGGTTCCGAACTCACCCAGGTGAAAATCTTGGTAATGGCTGACAAACAACACATGGCCAACATCCCAGGTTGGCCAATACATCCTGGAGACTGCCATCCATAGAGCACAGTGGATTCGATCAAATGGGATGACAGCAATCCAGCAGATAGTTTGCCCAGCTTTGGGAGTTCCTTCAGACTGCCATCTTTGACATCCTAGGAAATGATTCAAATGCAGTAAAGTTAATAAGAGCTCAATTTGCTTTGATGGAAGGATGAAATATTGCTGGTAAGGCACATTTTATGAGCAAAGTAGACTTCAAGTTTTGGAAGTGGGTTACACCAATTGTCAATGATTTAAGTCTTTTGTGTAAAATGCAAAATATATATTCTGTTTTATTTAATGTTTTTACTTATGATTAGGTTAGTCCATGGACTTTGTTGGAAGCCTTTATGTGATGTGTGATTGCCAAAATGAATTAATGTTATACATTTTACATTTTTATACATGTTAAATAACATTCAATTATGTGGATAGCTTGATATCTTGTGCTTGTAGGAGTCGACCAAAATAAAACAGGTAATTTTAATACAAATGTATTGATAAACCAGAATTTGGGTTGTAATTTCCCCCCCACTTTTTGGTAGTTTTAGCTCATTTTTACCCATTTTTGGGTAGAAAACATAACCCAACATGCTGGGTCAAGCCCATAACCCAATCCTGTAAATGGTAGATGACTTCCCCGTCGAGCTTTACTTTGTTTTTACATTATGTGGACGTCTGCTAACGCGGACTTTGCGCCTCCTAGTTGGAAATAGAAAGCTTACAATTATGGGTTAATATTAATCTAAAATTTTAATTCTGAGTATTGTGAGGAAAAAGTCCATTTATTTTGAAAAGAGAAGACTAATAAAAAGATATATTTCTCTATATGACATTTATTATGCATTAACGTATCAAAATAAGCATGTGCACATGGATCCCTTCTGTTTAGGATAAACAGAAAAGACTAACTCCAACTTAGCGGTACACAACATTTATATGAAAAAGATGTTGCTTTCTGATTGGTCCAAAAACTGTTGGGGAGCAATTGTGGTTTAAACTTAATTCTCCCAAGATTGGTCCTTCAGTCCGTCCATCCTCCAATCATCCTCTCTGCTCCAATGG